ACATCACATTGGGCTGGGCACGGTGGCTCACGCCTGTAATCCTAGCACTTTGGGAGGCCGAGGCGGGCGGATCGCTCAAGGTCAGGAGTTCAAAACCAGCCTGAGCGAGACCCCGTCTCTACCAAAAATAGAAAGAAATTAATTGACCAACTAAAAATATATATACAAAAAATTAGCCAGGCATGGTGGCGCATGCCTGTAGTCCCAGCTACTCGGGAGGCTGAGGCAGTAGGATTGCTGAGCCCAGGAGATTGAGGTTGCTGTGAGCCAGGCTGACGCCACGGCACTCACTCTAGCCTGGGCAACAAAGTGAGACTCTGTCTCAAAAAAAAAAAAAAAAAAAAGAATCACATTGTACCTCATAAATATATATATAATTATTGTCAACTAAACAAAAAATTATTTAAAAATTTTAAAAAGATCATTGGAAATCTTCTATCCTCCATCCTATTAATTATCTTTCTTAATTATATCATCATATAAGTTATTGATTTTTTAAAATGTTTAATAGGACAGTGAGTCCCCTCTCTTTGTCAATATTAATTACTTGGTCTCCTTTGAGTTTAGTTGAAAAAAGTGTTCATACTCCAGCTTGGACTTTGGCATTGCTCTTCCAATTGGCTATTGGTGCTCTGCTTAGGATGTAACTCCCCTTTTCAGCTTGGCTGTTATTTCATAAGTAATATGTCTGACTCTGCTTCAATCTTTTTCATGGCTACATAGTATTCTATTACACAGATATACCATGCTGATGGACACAGGTAGTTTCCAAACTTTTGGTATTACAAAGAGGTCATGAGCCTGTTTGCAAGTACTAATGTCAGAAAAATTCCTGGAAATGGAATGTAAGGGTCAAAAGATATTTACATTTTTATTTTGATAGATTTTGCCAAATTGCTCTCTAAAGAGTTGTACCACTTTACTTTAGTAGTGGTTTATATCTCAGCAACATAAGCAATTTCAAATTAAATATATCTGTTGTTTAAAGATATGTTAATAATTCTTCTACTGGAAATTGAAATTGCTTCTAATTTTACCTTTCTCCCCTTCTTATTTCTCCTCACTCTCTCCTCTGATTTCTTCCCTACTCGGAACTCCAAATTCTTGTCACTCATTAATACAAAGTAATTCTGTATCTCCAGACTCTCTGACTTAACTCTGCTCCAACCCTGCATTTGCAACGAAACCTCAACATAGTAAACTTGCTGCCATCTGAAAGCCATTCTCCTTAATAATGACAATATTGAATGCTGACGTGTATTAGCCCATTTTATCCTTTCAACAATCTGGTGATACAGGAAATATTATTATCTCTATTTTATGAGTGAGAAAATTGAGGTTTAGAGAAGTGAGGTCACTTCAGTAGGGCCACATGGTTTAAAAATTGCACTGATACTATTTGAACCTGGAGACCACACTCTTAACCCCTATGGTCACCTCTCTTAGAGCCTACTTAGGTCCTTATCAAATTCTAACCTAACTTTCTTAGTGATCCCCATGAAAAAATTCAGGCTCTGGTGTTTATCCTGATTCCTGTCTAGTCCAATGCCTGTTCTATTAGCAGCTCTGCCTTGTAAAAGAGCCTGGATCAGTCTAGAGAACACAGGTTCCAGGATTGCCTTAGCCTATGGCAGAGAAGAAAGTATGGGGTGGGATCACAGGCCGAGGGGGGACATCAGTCAAGCCCTCTCTCTCTGCAAAGGTTTCTGGTTTCTGGGTGGGTCCTCCAGACGGGAAAGGAGCAGTTGACTCCTTTCCTAGTCAGTCAGTCTAGTTTTCCCTGGAACTCAGCACACTGTGAAACCCATGAGGTGGCCGAGGCCAATTTAGGCAAGTTCTATTCAACAAACATTTATTGAGTCCCAACAATAGGCCAGACCCTGTGCTGGGTTGGGATATAACATACACTAGTCACATGTTATACAAAGGAAGACAAGCACTTCAGTGTCCGGTTACCTAAGTGTGGTAAGTGCCTGAATAGCTAGAGACCTGAGTGTATTGTTTGGAGTGAAAGCTGGCAAGAGGAGAAAGGAAAAAGGGAAAGCAGGGATAAGGAGTACATGACTGGAGTTTTTGGCTTTGAGGAAACAATCCAGATTGGGGAAAGCAATAATAATTCAGTAAGGATTGCTGGCAGAAGGGCCTGCAGTGCCTCCAAAAGTACTGAGTTCTTCATCTGCAGGTAAGTAGACCTTACCTGTTTATCAGGCATGGTAGAGGAAAGCAAGGTATGAGGGCAAAGAATAGTCAGGAAAAATTCCAAGATCCATAATAGTGTGTGTATAGGGGATGGGGAGGGGTTTTGTGAAATGCTAATTCCTGCTTTTTCTTGGCAGCTTTTCTGGAAATTGTGATGACAGCCAGCGGTGGGAAAAATCACTGAAATCACTTGTGACCGCAGCGTTTTCCCTGCCTCTAAGTGGCTGGCTATCACCTGAGCCATTCCAAGTGGCAGCCTGCTGTAGATTCATTGTTTTCTCTCTTGGTCATTTATTGAAGTGAGGGTATCATTGTGTTTTGTTTTGTTTTGTTTTTTGTGGGGGGAGGTACAGCCTTCAGTACAAGTGAAAGTGTGCTCTCCCTTGGGTATGTTTTTGAGGTAGGGAGGAAGGAAGAGAGAAGTTCATTTTCCAAGAGCAATGAATAAGCAAGCCACATCCTCTACATTAACCAGAAAGCTTGCAGGATAAAAAGCGACGGAAAAGAGATCCAGTCAGCAGAGAGACCCAGTTTCTGGTTTTAGATCTGGTCCCACCTACTGAGAGCTTTAGAAATTCACAACCTATCTATATGTACAGTTTCTCATTTATACGTAGGAATAATAAATTTTTGTCTCTCAATAGTATTGCGAGAAAGGAAAGAAAGGAATAATAAACATTTAAAGTCCTTAAAGGGGCTGGGTGCAGTGCGGTGGCTCAAGCCTGTAATCCTAGCACTCTGGGAGGCCGAGGCGGGTGGATTGCTCGAGGTCAGGAGTTCAAAACCAGCCTGAGCAAGATCGAGACCCTGGCTCTACTATAAATAGAAAGAAATTAATTGGCCAACTAATATATATAGAAAAAAATTAGCCGGGCATGGTGGTGCATGCCTGTCATCCCAGCTACTCGGGAGGCTGAGGCAGTACGATCCCTTGAGCCTAGGAGATTGAGATTGCTGTGAGCTAGGCTGACGCCACGACACTCACTCTAGCCTGGGCAACAAGCGAGACTCTGTCTCAAAAAGAAAAAAAAAAGAACCAAAAAACCCCAAAAAAGTCCTTAGGAAATAATATTTTGTAGACTTTATAAATTGTTTTAAATAATTTCTCAGACTGTGTCAGAAAAGTAACAAGGCCATGGCTGATAGGCCACTTTTAAATGGATGCTGGGTGTTGCTAAGAGGCCTCTCTTGAGTAACTTTCCCCTCGTAATTGGGACAGAAATTCTGGTCATTGACAGGAATGTAGCCGGGCCAAAATAGAACCTAACAACTTCTGGTTCTCAATAAACACCACTTGAACATTTGGTTCTGTCTTCAAAGCTAAGTCATCAAAACATGGGCCAGTTCTAATGAGGAGCATACTAATGAAGAAATACGGATAATACAAAGAGAGAGAAAAGGCGAGGTGAAAAAAATCCACTGATCAACTACAAGTGGCCATAAAATCTGGAAACATAGGTGAATATACATAATAAAAGGCTTATGGATATAATACTTGCTGTGTTCAATAATATTACATGATATAGTCACTACGTCGTCCCTCATTAGGAATGCCTACCATGCATTAGGAATGCCATTCCAACCTGTTGTAACATGCAGTGCTAATGCAGAGTTTTCTATCAAGTCCTGCAAATGAGTTTGTGATGCCTTGTCTCAGATCATTTATCTTTAATTTTCATTGAATAAACCCCAGAAGAAATAATCAAGGGGATTACATTTGTAAAAAATAAACTATAATCTACGCTTCCAGGCTTTATGACTATCTGGTAGCTTCTACAGAGATGAACACAGGGAATAGATGCAAAAAGAAGAGTGAAGAATATGGAGAAATCTAGAGAAGAAAGAGAGAAAAAGAAGAAAGACACAGGCCGGGAGCGGCGGCTCATGCCTATAATCCTAGCACTCTGGGAGGCCGAGGCGGGCAGATTGCTCCAGGTCAGGAGTTCCAAACCAGCCTGAGCAAGAGTGAGACCCCGTCGCTACTATAAATAGAAAGAAATTAATTGGCCAACTAATATATATATAGAAAAAATTAGCCGGGCATGGTGGTGCATGCCTGTAGTCCCAGCTACTCAGGAGGCTGAGGCAGTAGGATTGCTTGAGCCCAGGAGATTGAGGTTGCTGTGAGCTAGGCTGATGCCATGGCACTTACTCTAGCCTGGGCAACAAAGTGAGACTCTGTCTCAAAAAAAAAAAAAAAAAATCCCATGAATATATTCATTCTTCACAGTGTTTTTTTTTTCCTCCCATTTTAAAATGTTTAAGCTTTGATATTTACAGGAGTGGCAGAATCAGGTCTATAATGTCTGCCCGCATCATTTTCAGGTGAGTAGAAATACTGAAAGTATATTAATATAGTAACAGTGGTAACAGAAAGAAATAAAAAACCATCATTGGTCTCCCAGTGTGGTGTATCAGCCCTTGGCTGCTGCCTGACATATTCTTGCCAACATTACTCTCAAAGTAATTTCTCTTATAAAATATGGCACAATCACCACCATGTCCTGAGCATGGATATTTAATCTTGGAAATAGTATCTAAAGTATTTGAAATATTTGAAGAGACAGCTGATTTTTAAGGAGCCAGTTGATATTAACCTATGCTGTTTTCCAATAAGGTGAATACCCTGGGGTGTAAGAAAATCAGAAGAGAGCCAGAGAATCCTTTTAGAAGTTTCATAGCCTAAAACATTAAACATTACAGAATGTCAGTCAACTCTCTAGAAAAAGATTTCTGCAAACACACAAAGCTATTTTAAAATTCTCTTTTATAAAATCAGACAATTTAAAAGCTATTGGCTGCCATCTTTAAGATCTGAAAGTGGAGTACTGGTAGGATTGCCAGACTTAGCAAATAAAAATACAGGATGCTTGCTGACGATGAAGAGCTCCTAAAAGAGAGAGAGAGAGAGAGAAAATACAGGATGCCCAATTAAACTTGAATTTCAGATAAAAAGAAATAGTTTTAATATTTAGTATCCTAATATTACATATTTTTAGTATATTTTATGTCCTGTGAAATATTTGAGACATATTTGTACTAAAAAGCTATTCATTTTATACAAAATTCACATTTTGGGGGGAGGGAGGAAATGACATTTATTGAAACCTTAAAATCTGTACCCCCATAATGTGCTGAAATAAAAAAAAATTTAACTCGACATCCTATATTTTATCCTGCAAACCTAGTACTGGGGAGAGTTACTTGGTTTAACCCCTTCATTACTCTGCAGAACAAGGGGCCCCAACCTGGCTGATGAGAACATGCCTTTAGGGTTAACTACATGGAATTTTAAGATTAGCAATTATCATGGTAAAAGGAGAATTGAATTTTCTGGTCTGTGGATTTCCATTCTGTATCTTTCACACTGTGAAAAGCATTTAAATATATTTCCAGTTAGCCAGAGTGGTAATGGGTTAATTGAAGAATATGCTTTATTTGGATCTTAAATTTAGGGTTTGTTTACATATGGACTAAAGAGCCTAGGAGCCTAGGACCATATGGACTTTGCTGTACCCAGTAAGGAATGAACAAACTTGCTTTTTTTTTGAGACAGAGTCTCGCTTTGTTGCCCAGGCTAGAGTGAGTGCCGTGGCGTCAGCCTAGCTCACAGCAACCTCAAACTCCTGGGCTCAAGCAATCCTACTGCCTCAGCCTCCCAAGTAGCTGGGAATACAGGCATGTGCCACTATGCCCGGCTAATTTTTTCTATATATATATCAGTTGGCCAATTAATTTCTTTCTCTATTTATGGTAGAGACGGGGTCTCGCTCTTGCTCAGGCTGGTTTCAAACTCCTGACCTCGAGCAATCCGCCCACCTTGGCCTCCCAGAGTGCTGGGATTACAGGCGTGAGCCACCTCGCCTGGCCTCAGACTTGCTTTTATAAAGCAGTTTGAAGACTTCAAAAATGCTGAATGAATTTTTTTTCTAATGAAGTTATCTGCCACATCTTTCACTAAAGAATCACCCACCCCACTGTTTGGCTTTGTAGGACTTGTCAGACTATGTCATATCTCCAGGATAGAAGCCTGTCTAATGGAAGCTGGAGTCCGAGTGCAGCAGCGGTGGGTTGAAGACAGCAGTGTTGCTGTGAGCCCGACTGAAGCACTCACGGAGAGAGCATTCTTTTCAGCATCAGCTGATGCTCTGCCACACAGGATTCTGTTACCCTCATTTGAGCTGCCTGGTTATTCCAGCAATCAGATCTTTCTGTCTCCTTCCCATTACCCGGCCTCGACACCAGCTATCATATGCCCTTTTTGCCTTGACTCCCAAGCATACAATTCTTCTTTTATTTTCTTTAAACTCAAATGCCAGAATATTGGAATTTCTAGGACATTTACATGGTTTGTGATAACAATGGAGGATATTTGCTATCAGAACTGCCCTGAAAAATCTAGGACATGTGTGGTCCCCCTAATATTTCAATACTTGTTTTCTGACAGTTACCTAGACAGCAAGGATATTTGGTTTGGAGAGGAAATAGGGCTGGGAGTAGAAATTCTTCTCATCATGGTTTTAGTCATTGCTTTGTAGATAACCTTGGGCAAATTACTGCATCTATTTCTGTCCTATGTCAGTTTCTGAACCCCTTCTATCTGAAGCCCCCTATAACAATTATAAAGAAGAAAACGGTAGGAACTCATTTCCAACTTACTTTTGCTATCCTTAAAATGTAAGTTATGAATCCTAGTGTTGGAAACATAGCATAGTGGGCTTCTCTATCCTTTTACCCTGAAGGGGAAGAAAAGTTATGGAAAACAAAGGCCATAAAGATTTCACCACTTTAATTTCTTTGTTTAAGAGAAGCATGTGGCTGCTTTCAGAACTGCAACTTGTGAAATTCTAGTCTGAATTCAATCTGGTTAGTACTTCAGTGTTCTAATTTCTGGAAAAAATAAAAGGGGACGGGGCTTATAAACTAAAGAAAGTTATTTACCTTGTCAACAGTAATAATAGCACTTTCTAAAAAATAATGACTCCTTTTTTCTCTCCTTCACCTCCTCCATTCCTTTGATCCTGTCACCCTCCCCTGCATCTACTGATATCCTCTTACCTTGAGATAAGACAGTAATGAATCACTTTAGCAAAAGTACATAGAACTAAACAAAGATGACATAGTTTGGCATCTGTTGGTACTGAGGCACATCAGGATAGGGCATAGCAAGAGTTCAGGGTTTCTTGATGCATAGTTGCTAAAACTGTGGCCTCCACTTCATAGCTAATGTAGGTTTGGGGCAAGAAGAACATAAATCTCTCTTTTTTTTTTTTGAGACAGAGTCTCACTTTGTTGCCTAGGCTAGAGTCGGTGCCATGGCGTCAGCCTAGCTCACAGCAACCTCAAACTCCTGGGCTCAAGAAATCCTACTGCCTCAGCCTCCTGAGTAGCTGGAACTACAGGCATGCGCCACCATGCCCAGCTAATTTTTTTTACATATATTAGTTGGCCAATTAATTTCTTTCTATTTATAGTAGAGATGGGTCTCGCTCTTGCTCAGGCTGGTTTTGAACTCCTGACCTCAAGCAATCCGCCCGCCTCAGCCTCCCAGAGTGCTAGGATTACTGGAGTGAGCCAGCGTGCCCGGCCAATCTTAAATGGTTTAAATTGTGCCTTTTTGCCTAAAAAGTTTTGTCTTTTTTTTGACCTGCCCTAATTCCTGATGTCAGGTCCACAGGGTATTTGTGCTATGCCTCATTTTTAGTGAATGTATATTTTACACAGTGTGATCACACTTTGAACTAAAATAGACCATATCCAGAAACCTGCTGGTGCAGGCTTCCCAGGGCTAAAGAATATGAGCAGTTTGAATTGCTTTTTGTCTCTTTGGCTTCTTCTTGAGTCAATTCACCAATATAGAGATGTTACTATATAGATTTTATTAAAAAAAAAAAAGGCACCAGATCCTAAAGGCTAGCCTCTATGCCAAGATTATTTTCCTAGAAAATGCATAATATTTGAAAGTGAAAGGGTCAAATGCTTACCTTATAGTCTCTGGCTCTGGCATTATTTGTTTACTGGGGATCTTGTGACTTTTGGTTCAGTCCTGTGAATAAGCAGGTCACAAGACAACTTTTAGCTCCCCGTACACTTTTTAAATGTTTATTAATCTTGACTCCTATACAAACTCTGTAGAAAGGCTGGCAACAAAAGATTCTTATCCTTAGTTATTTATGTGGCTAAGACTCTAAGGCAAATTGCTCTCATAAAATCACACCCATGAGATGTGATTATACCAGATTGGCAGGCCTTAATGTTGCCTCTCTTAGCCCCACCCTTTAACCTAGGTTGAGCTTATTCTCTTTGCTAGGCATAGGATCAGATATTGAGTAAAAACTAATTCTGATGTCAGTTCTTCTTGTCAGGGATTTAAGAAGCAAACAGAAATAGAGCCAAGGGTGGAGAAACTGAGGCCCTCTGAATGTTTGCTGCTAAGCTGATGAGACATCTAATCCTCTTGGCTACTCCACTGGTATAGTTCAACCTGAGCCCACACTAATTTTTTGGACTGGAAGTCAAGGCAAACATCATTGTAAACTCAATTCTAGCATGCCAGCTCCAGAACACTTTAACCTTTAAAGGCTTGGGATTCCAGGAGAAATGTTGTAGCAGCATTCCAGAGACCCACACATCAGACATAGACATATGCATTCTTGCCTGCGGCACAGGGTGTTGGCTTCACCCCGTCCTATGAGTTGGCTTCCTAACTCATATTCTGCAGAGTCCTGCTGGCTAATCCTTCATAGGAGGACACAGCCAAACAGGCTCATCTCAATTTGAAGATCATCAACAAAGGGACTGGGTTTAATAACGTAGCTACCAGTCACTTGGGATTGGTAACCAAACCTGTGGCTGTGCTGTGAAAAGGGAAGCAGAAGTACAAAAAAAAAAAAAAAAAAAAAAAGGAGGGGCTAGAAAGGAAGTAAGACAGGTGGAAATGTATGACTTTTTCAACTTCCTGATGGAAAGATACTAAGAGAAGTAAAACTCTTTTTGACTAAGTAGGACCTTTCTTTGGCCACAGTTGGATGTATTAATAAATAATGTCTGGTGGCACATGTCTGTAGTCCCAGCTACTCAGGAGGCGGAGGCAGGAGTATCGTTTGAGCCCAGGAGATTGAGGTTGCTGTGAGCTAGGCTGATGCCACTGCACTCACTCTAGCCCAGGCAACAGAGTGAGACTCTGTCTCAAAAATAAATAAATAAATAATGTCATATTGCCACCTTCAAATAAATCTATCTTTATGTCTATCTATGTATATTTATTTCTATCTCACATATTATACCATATGTAGTTATTCATTACTATAGTATACATCTTATTTTTTAGAACATAATAAAATGTTTAGGCCGGGCGTGGTGGCTCATGCCTGTAATCCTAGCACTCTGGGAGGCCGAGGCGGGAGAATCTTTTGAGCTTAGCTATTCGAGACCAGCCTGAGCAAGAGCGAGACCCCGTCTCTACCAAAAATAGAATGACATTAATTGGCCAACTAAAAATATATAGAAAAAAATTAGCCGGGCATGCTGGCACATGCCTGTAATCCCAGCTACTCGGGAGGCTGAGGCAGGAGGATTGCTTGAGCCCAGGAGTTTGAGGTTGCTGTGAGGTAGGCTGACGCCACGGCACTCTAGCCTGGGCAACAGAGTGAGACTTTGTCTCAAAAAAATAAATGTTTATTAGGCATTTACTGGATATCAGATGCGATTATAATTACTTTCTTTTTTATTTATTTTTTTTTTTGAGACAGAGTCTTGCTCTGTCGCCCAGGCTAGAGTGAGTGCCATGGTGTCAGCCTAGCTCACAGCAACCTCAAACTCCTGGGCTCAAGCAATCCTGCTGCCTCAGCCTCCCGAGTAGCTGGAACTATAGGCATGGGCCACCATGCCCAGCGAATTTTTTCTACATATATTCGTTGGCCAATTAATTTCTTTCTATTTATAGTAGAGCCGGGGTCTTGCTCTTGCTTAGGCTGGTCTCGAACTCCTGACCTCAAGCAATCCACCCCCCTTGGCCTCCCAGAGTGCTAGGATTATAGGCGTTAGCCACCGGGCCCGGCCCCCACATTTCTCTAGTTGTCATGTCTCCTTTAGTCTCTTCCAATCTGTGACAATGCCTCAGTCCTTCCTAGTTTTACATGATATTTCCAGTTTTGAAGAGTAGAGTGCTAGGATTACAGGCGTGAGCCACCGTGCCTGGCCTAATTTTGTGTTTCTATTTTTACTTGACTAAGTTTTTATTTTTATTTTATTTTTAGTAGAGACAGTCTGGCTCTTGCTCAGGCTGGTCTCGAACTCCTGACCTCAAGTGATCCTCCTGCCTGGACCTCCCAGAGTGCTAGGATTATAGGCGTGAGCCACCACGCCTGGCCTGAAGGCCATAATTTCTAAGTCAGCAAGGCTAATTAGTAACTGTAATGCTTTGTTTTCAGCTAACATGTGGATTCTGTAATGGTCTCCTAAACTCTCCATATCTTTGTCTTCCCCTTTCAATGTTCCACACAGCCAGGATTTCTTTCCTTCCTGCATGCTTGAATATTTTGCCTCACTAACTCAACTCCCTTATATTCTCTTTGCTTTAAAACATCTCTTTCAATGACTTACATTTTTTTTTTATAATTTTTTTATTTTTTTGAGACAGAGTCTCGCTTTGTTGCCCAGGCTAGAGTAAGTGCCGTGGCGTCAGCCTAGCTCACAGCAACCTCAGACTCCTGGGCTCAAGCAATCCTCTGCCTCAGCCTCCTGAGTAGCTGGGACTACAGGCATGCGCCACCATGCCCGGCTAATTTTTTCTATATCTATTAGTTGGCCAATTAATTACTTTCCATTTATAGTAGAGCCGGGGTCTTGCTCTTGGTCAGGCTGGTTTTGAACTCCTGACCTTGAGCAATCCACCCGCCTCAGCCTCCCAGAGTGCTAGGATTACAGGCGTAAGCCACTGCGCCCCGCGGCCACTTACATTTCTTTATATATCCTTTACCACTCCTGCTATGAAGACCATCACTGAGAAAATGATAGGCTTTTAAAGAAATTCTCAAACCACAGATGAAAGAATACTTTTCTCTGAGATAAGCATGCATTATGTACATATCTGCTTTACAGATGGGGAAACTAAGGCAGGGAAATGATAAGATTTGCCTTAAGTCATAAAGTCAGTGACGATATTAACTATTTCTCTGTGTCTTCCGACTCTCAGGCTAGTGCTTGAAAACTGAAGATGAAAAGTGCCTCTGGGCCGGGCGTGGTGGCTCACGCCTGTAATCCTAGAACTCTGGGAGGCCTAGGCAAGTGGATCCTTTGAGCTCAGGAGTTTGAGACCAGCCCGAGCAAGAGCCAGACCCTGTCTCAACTAAAAAAATAGAGATTAGCTGGACAACTAAAAATATATAGAAAAAATTAGCCGGGTATGGTGGCATGTGTCTGAAGTCCCAGCCACTCGGGAGGCTGAGGCAGGAGGATTGCTTCAGCCCAAGAGTCTGAGGTTGCTGTGAGCTAGGCTGATGCCATGGCACTCTAGCCCAGGTAACAGAGTGAGAATCTGTCTCAAAAAAAAAAAAAAAAAAGAGAAAAGAAAAGTGCCTCTGACTAGAATGACTAATTGTTTTTTTCCTTTCTTTTCTTTTTTAACTTTTTATTGAAGTATATGGACTTACATAGGTTTTTTTTTTTTATTTGCAGATTTTCAAGGGCATGGTAGACAGAGAAGCCTAGAGATCTGCTAAAAGTAGGGTTAATGATCTTGAGACATTACTGACTTTCCCATTCCCTCTGAAGCACCAGAGAGGGAAATAAATTTCCAAGGGCTCTTATGCTCTTTATTTCACTTATTCCACAGACACCTGCATAGAGCATATGTTAGGTTGTAATCTATTCATATTTAGGGGAACTGTATCTATTTTACCTTCCATTCCCCTACCCCAAGTTGTAGTAGCTCTGGGTTCATTCTTGACTAGCTGCATTGGAATCTCCTGGGTCATGGGACAAGGGTTGTGGCCAAGTAAGATTCTTCCCAGGATCACAATTACTGCTGTCATGAAGTCTGTGGTCCTGGTGTTTTTTGTTGTTGTTGTTTGTTTTGTTTTGTTTTTAGAGACATAGTCACATGCTGTCGCCTGGGCTAGAGTGTAGTGGTTCGATCATAACTCAATGCAACCTCTAACACCTGGGCTCAAGCAAGCCTCTCGCTTCGGCCTCCCAAGTAGCTGGGACTACAGGCATGTGCCACTATGCCTGGACAATGTTTTTGTTTTTAATCTTTTCTGTGATTTTATAAAAGAAGGTTGCCTCTAGTCTTAGCTTCACATAGTTTCTCCGTGGGGCACACATCTTGTACATAAAGGAAAGGCGGCAGAGGAGGTAAATTATTTTTTCTTGGTCAACTGGTTAGTCAGTTCAGTAACAATTGAGATGTATTTTGTGCAGGGTCAAGTACTGAGAGTAATAACATAGTCAGAAGGCGATCTCTTGCTAGCAGTACATCTGGCAATAAAATACATATAAAACAAATTAAAAACACAATTACAGAACAGCACAAGTACAAATAAATCAGCAAAAGCCAGTACTTGCGAGGTAATGAGAAAGGAGTTAGAGTTGGGTGGCTAGACAGTGAGGATTTTCCAGGAAAAGGCGAGTTTTGAAGGAAGAGAGGGGCACAGATTTGCTGAAAAGGATGAGGAACTCATTCTAGCAATAATGCATGAACTACGGTAGAGAAGAGAGAATGAACAAGTTGTAAGGGCCAAACAGTGAACAGGTTAGCTTGTTAAGACCGTACAATTTATGTTTAAGGATAAGAAAAACAAGCCTAGGGGAATGGTAAAGACAGTTCATACAAAGCCTTAAATGGTGACAAATCAAATTTGTTTTAACAGACAAGAAGGAGCCTTATGGGTTCTTGCATAATGAAAACATTTTGAGAAGCTGAGATACAGAGGGATTAGAATAAAATAAAACTAGAGCTGGGTGCAGTGGCTCAATGCCTGCAATCCTAGCACTCTGAAAGGCTGAGGTGGGAGGATTGCTTGAGCCCAGAAATTTGAGACAAGCCTGAGGAAGAGCGAGACCCTATCTCTACTAAAATTAGAAAAATATTAGCCAGGTGTGGTGGCATACGTCTGTAGTCTCAGCTACTCAGGAGACTGAGGCAGGAGGATTGCTTGAGCCCCAGGTACTGGAGGTTTCAGTGAATTATGATGACACCATTATGCTCTAGCCAAGGTGACAGAGTGAGAAGACAATGTCTCAAAAAGAAAATTAATTAATTAAAAAAACAAAACTAGAGAGTTAGAAAAATAGAGAAGCTGCTGCAAAATTCTCTAGGAGAGAAAAACATGCTGGGGTTCCAATTCTAGCTCTGCCAATTATTAGCTATATGACCTTGGGCAAGTCACTGAATTTCTAAGTGCCTATTTTGTCATCTGTTAAATGGCGATAATGGTATCCACCTCATAGATGTGTTGAGAAGATTACATGAATTAATAACATGAAAAGTGTTTAGTAAGTACTCAATAAATATTTAATTATAGTTAATTAAATTCTTATTATATGTTATTTAAATTATCATTGCTGGGTATGGTGGCTTATGCATGTAATCCCAGCACTTTGGGAGGTTGAGATGGGAGGATTGCTTAAGGCCAGGATTTTGAGATCAGCCTGGACAATATAGCAAGACCCCATCTTTACAAAAAAATTTTTAAAAAATTAGCTAGGTGTGGTGGTGTGTGCCTGTAGTCTCAGGACTGAAGAGGCTAAGGTGGGAGGATCAGTTGAGCCCAGGAGTTGGAGGTTGCAGTGAGCTATGATGATGTCATTGCACTCCAGCCTGGGCAACAGAGCAAGAATTTATCTCTAAAAAAAATTATTATTATTATTTCTATGACCACATAGAAATGCATCCATGTAATAAAAGGCCCTATCTCACATCTTAGTTGGAAAGCATTGCAGCTTTTCAGTCTGCTCTTGTAGTTTTTCTTTACATTTTAAAAATCATTCAATTTTCTGTTCTTATTTTTTTAGAGTGGTTTATTTTCAGATGCTGGAATGATTATGCTATTCTGATTATGTTATTATTCTCAGTACTGGGCCCTGCACAAAGTATATCTCAATCGTTACTGAACTGACTAACCAGTTTCTAAAGAGTATGTAGGATTCAGAAGCTAAGAGAGCAGGCCCAGTGTCCAAAATTGTGCTGCCTAATACAATAGACACTAGCCACATTTGGCTATAGAACACCTGAAATTTGGCTAGTCAGAATTGAGATGTCTGTCAATGTAAAATACACACTGTATTTCAAAGTCAGTATGAAAAAGAAATAAGTAAAATATCTCATATTAATATTTTTATGATTCCATGTTGAAATGACAATGTTTTAGATATGTTGGGTTAAATAAGATGTGTCAATTTCATCTGTTTCCTTCTCACTTTTTTGTGATGTGGCTACTAGAAAATTTAATACTACCTCGTGGTTCACAGTATATTTCTATTGGACAGTAAAACATTCTGCATTGAGTGAAATGAAGGGGTTCCTACTTGTGAAATGTCTACAAAGGAATATGAGGATTATGGATAAACCTCCTTGCTCTTGTCACCTTTAAATGTATATATACTTCATTTAAATATATCTCTCATTTAAATGTATTTAAATATATGCCTCATTTAAATATATGTTTAAATATATTCATATCTCAATTTGCCAGATATTTACAGAACTGAGGGAGCCACACTAATAGTTCACCTTTAAAGAGGACGTAATTGTTGAAGGGTCTTCTACTTTAAAAAAGCCAGAAACAAAGATGAAAAAGGGAAAAAGGTGAAATATTTTCAACATTAAATTGTGGAAACAAAAATCTTCCTAATCTTTGAAATTACTCTTTCAAAGGTCCAAATCTTAGTGGTTGACGAAACCTAGATTATTAAAGGTTTTATGACAAAAATATTTTCAAATCATCTCTCGAAGTTGCTACTTGAAATAGGAATTAGGGCCAAAGAGCCTCAAGTCAGGGCTTTCCGCTGATGTGGAAGTAGAATCCAGTTTGGGGTTTTGTTCCGAAATGATATTTTAGCATGCTAGCCTGCCTGAACTGACCAACTGAGTAAGCTTCAACTTCCCGGGACGGCTCAGGGGCCCCTCAACGTCTCTGCCTTCGCTTTTCCAGCGCTTTCGCGGCTCCTTCCAGCTCTAAGGCCGTCCCTCTCCACCCAGCAGCGCTGACAGGTGCAGCTACCGGAGGCGCCCCACACCCCACGCCCCACGACGGCGCCAGCAACTCAGCGCCCTCCTGCCCCGCGGGCCGCGCCCTCGCCGCCCCGCCCCCTGCCCCGGCGCGCGCGCGCACTCAGTGGGGGCGCGCCCGGCCGGCGGGGCCGCGCACGCCGCTGCCGCGGCCTTCTTCCCTCCCTCCCTCCTAGCGGGCCCTCCTCCTCCCTCTCCTCCGCCCCCTTTCCCGTAGGCAGCCCGCCCGCCCGCAACGCCTCCCTCCCGGCCCCTAGCGCTCTGGCTGGGTCTCTCCCCCGCCCCCTAGGCTCCCCCGGTCGCTCTCCTCAGGCAGTCGCCCGCGCTCGGTGAATGTGGCTGGCAGCCGCCGCCCCCTCCCTTGCTCGCCGCCTGCTCTTCCTCGGCCCTCCGCCTCCTTCCCTCCTCCTTCTCCTCCTCAGCCGCTCCTCTCGCCGCCGCCGCCGCCTCCACAGCCTGGGCCTCGCCGCGATGCCGGAGAAGAGGCCCTTCGAGCGGCTGCCTGCCGATGTCTCCCCCATCAACTACAGCCTTTGCCTCAAGCCCGACTTGCTGGACTTCACCTTTGAGGGCAAGCTGGAGGCCGCCGCCCAGGTACGGCGACCCTTGGGCGCCGGGAGCGAGCTGCTGGGCGAGCAGTTAGGCCGCGCCCGCGGGCTGGACTGGGGGCCTTGCCGGGAGGGCGGGTGGGCCTTGGGGCTGGGGCTGGGGCAGGGAGGCCGGCCCAGGGGACAGGCGCGCCCCTGTGGGCGGCCGCGGGGCGCCGGGGCCGACGTGCTCTGCCCTGCTCGGCTGGGTCCGGGGCCGCGCTGCGGGAGCGCCCGGGAGACGGCCGTCCTGGCGCGTGCGCCCCTCCCGGGCGAGCACACCTCTGCGGGGCTTACCCCCCACCGCCGGCCCTCCCGAGCTTGGTAGTGTTCTGAGAGAGGCTGGAGGGGGTTGGGGAAGGCCGGAGGGGTCATGGGAGTCCCCGTTCAGTGTCAACCTCCTGACTGAGTTCTTTTCTCTGGTTCTCCCTACACCCCACGGGGGATAGATTGGAAGGGGCGGTTATCTGGGACTCTGGCCTCCGCGCTGGAGCGAGGAGGGGAGCTTCTGGAAGGGGGGAGAGGGTGAGAAACGAGAATGTTAATCCCAGGCAGCCTTGCTGAGTTCTCCCCGCCTGCTCCAGCCCAGGGGCTGGGTTTCCAAGATGATCCGCCCCCTCCCCCTTCCCCTCAAGTGACAGTGCAGCAGTGACTTTGTTCTCGCCTAACCTCTAGAGAAGCTGCCCGAGGACCCCATCTCCGCTTTTCCACCTATCTTCCTAGCTTTGTAGCCTTTAAAGCTGATGGATTTATTGCTACAGTGATGGTTGCTTAGCAGTACAGTCTTCTCAAAGAAGCTGTTAGTTTTAACGAATCACTGATGAAAATATTCCATTACTCTTCATTGCAGTTTTTTGGTGAATCATACTCCCCTCTCTCCTCTCAGCATTATCTGAAGTATTGTTTGATCTTGGAGACCATTGGTATAGATGCCCAACAAAGGTCCTGGACAATAGCCATTTATGATACCATGTTATATGATGTCTTAATGTGAAGCCTTTAATGAAAAATGGGAGCTGTTTAATAATCATCTGTAAAAAGAGTGGTATTAAATATATTTTGTTTCATTTCCATTCCTACTGTAGCCAGGGGGAAAATCAACCTTAGGCCTCAACCTTAATAAACAGGGTGTATGTAGCAATGAAATAAAAGAAATGTAGACTGGTACTTGAATGAATTGAAAGTTGGCAGTTATCTTTGAAAGCCAAGAGGTTATGATACTTGGATTGAAAATTTGGTTAAAAGTACAGAACTGAAAAGTATACTGTCAGATTTGGGGCACTGATGTGAAAGCATGAGAGCTCTAGGGTCTGTCTGTGTCAAAAGGCAGAACTTATCCCTGTGAAAATGAGGTGATTTAAAATTTTTCCATTAAGAATATGAATCAGAGTGAGTGCATCTTGGGTCTAAATTAGGATTTGGGAGGGTTATTTGGGAAACTAAGATTTAAGCCAAGTGACTAGAGTGTTTGATATATATTGGCAAGAGGCAGATGGGAGGAATTGTAAACAGTAGTGTGTCTTGTGACTTGGCAAACCTTTGGGCAGAAGGACCTAGCAATGAATGAGTTCACATTATGTGAAGACTAACACTAAAAAAAAATTTGTTTCTTTATTTCATTAGTTGGCATAATGATTTATAATTTTGGGAAGCATACATATTTAGGGAAAAAATTTTTAAAAATGGTACAAATTTTTAAATGATTATTTATTAAGAAGTATATTTAAGTGTTGGGATAGAACAAGCAGTGACCTGCTTCTCCTTACCACTTTTCTACTTTTCCAAAGAGATGAGAAATATGTGGAAGACTGCTGTGCCATTGAGGGTGAATGTGGTAATGTATTAGATATTAGTAGGGAGCTGTTTGTTAATTTGATACAAGAAAATAAATTGATTATTTAAATAACATGAATTTTTCAAAACATTTTTTTCAGGCTGGATGGCAACACAAATTAAGGACGGCATATTAGTGAATTCTAACTGGCTTTTATTTATTTATTTATTTATTGATTGATTGATTGATTGATTGATTGACAGAGTCTTGCTTTGTTGCCCAGGCTAGAGTGAGTGCCGTGGCGTCAGCCTAGCTCACAGCAACCTCAAACTCCTGGGCTCAAGCAATCCTACTGCCTCAGCCTCCCAAGTAGCTGGGACTACAGGCATGCACCACCATGTCTGGCTAATTTTTTCTATATATATTAGTTGGCCAATTAATTTCTTTCTATTTATAGTAGAGACAGTCTCTCTCTTGCTCAGGCTGGATTGGAACTCCTGACCTGAAGCAATCTGCCCGCCTCGGCCTCCCAGAGTGCTAGGATTACAGGCATGAGCCACCACGCCCGGCCTAACCTGTTTTATTAAAGGTTGATTAGGGCTGGGCTAGGTGTTTCATGCCTGTAATCCTAGTACTCTGGGAGGCTGAGGCTGGAGGATTGCTTGAGCTCAGAAGTTCGAGACCAGCCTGAGCAAGAGTGAGACTCTGTCTCTACTAAAAATAGAAAAATTAGCTGGGCCTTGTGGTATGCACCTATAGTCTTAGCTAGTTGAGAGGCTGAGGCAGGAGGATTGCTTGAGCCCAGGAGTTTGAAGTTGCAGTGAGCTATGATGATTCCACTGCATGCTACACTGGGGGACAGAGTGAGACTCTGTCTCAAAAAAGAAAAACAAAAAAAGGAAACTGAACCCCCTCCCCCATCACTTAATATATGGAGGGAATAGCCTCCATATATTAAAATATAAAAATATATGGGGATAGAAGTAAAAAGCATGTTTTTGAAATCCATGAATTGGGGCAGTAAGTTAATTGTGGCATTAGGTGGTATCTTATTATGGAAATTTAAAAATATTGACATAAATTTGTATCTCTAGAAACCTTGATTTAGAACTAGTATTGGGTCAGTTTCCTAACAGTTGGAATCACATTACACAAAGTATGCAAGTTGCTTTGTTGCTTTAGTTGCAAAATTTTATGATAAGCCCAGAGTATTTGTACAGGTTACATATTAGAAACTTAGTGGATTTTTAACTTGGCCTGGGGTGTGGACTCCTGAGGAAGGTGAAGAAATTAGTCAGTGTGCATTGATTAGTTTTCTTTCATGTGAATGTGGTCTAATTCAGCAGGTTTTTTTTTTCTTTTTTTGAGACAGTCTCACTTTGTTGCTCAGGCTAGAGTGAGTGCTGTGGCATTAGCTTAGTTCACAGCAACCTCAATCTCCTGGGCTCAAGCAATCCTACTGCCTCAGACTCCCGAGTAACTGGGACTACAGACATGTGCCACCATGCCCGGCTAATTTTTTCTATATATATTTTTAGTTGGTCAATTAGTTTCTTTCTATTTTTAGTAGAGACGGGGTCTCGCTCAAGCTCGTTTCAAACTCCTGACCTTGAGTGATCCACCCACCTCAGCCTCCTAGAGTGCTAGGATTACAGGGGTGAGCCACGGCGCCCAGCCTAATTCAGCATGTTTTGAAAATGTGTTATTATGGGCCTAGAGAGATTTTTCCCTAGGCCCCAAATTCATTTCATTTCATTCCCTCTCTCCTCCCTTTACAGTGGATACTTGACAGCAATGGACTTTTGTAGATGTTTTAAATTCTCACCCTCTCCCTTTGTGGATAATAAATTAAAATGGATTATAGGTTTATGTGAGTATGGCTACAATTTCTGGTTATGTGTATGCAGTGATTGGTACAGTAATTGGGCTTTGTCTTATAGAAATATTTTACCTGTGTTGGGGAAATGAAGTTCATCCTTGAAGGCCAGAAATCAGGATATGCTAGCCAATCCCTGGCCTCCACCGACAAAATATTCATGTTGGAAGTGACTAAATTGGCACTACAAGGAGAGTTACAGATATAGTAATTTGTTTGGCAGGCTAAAAACTTGGCACCTACATGGATGTTATTGTCAACCTTGTGTTACGGAATTTTCTGCCCAAACTTTGCATGTTTTCTATGCAATCATTTTGGCAGTCTTTTATTACTTTAAAAAGTGATGAAATTAATAATTTGTCAGCATTGTGCTTGATCACTAAATGGTCTTAAGAAATTAAATTAGAAATACTTGTTAAGGAATTGAATTTATTCAGACATTTTCTTCTGTTTTTGGAAATGTGTCTATGAGGAAAGAAGTATGAGAAACTGTTTTGTATGTTAAGCTTTATCTAATTTATCTGGCAATGAATTCTGCAGTGAATTTTCCAGATAACTGAAGCTTACCCTTTGGGGCACTTAGACTTTAAGAAAATATTTACTGATTTGGATGGAAATATTCCTAAAATATATTATCGTTTTAAGTTTTATAATTCTTCATAATCTAGGTTTGTTTCTCTTCTTTTTTTAAACACTAGATATCATTCTGAACATCTGTCATTGATGCTAGAGTACTTATAAACAGAGAAATTACCCCAGAGTATATGCTGAAATTTATTAGTTTCATATCTGTTCTTTAAGGTTGTTGTCCTTACTCTCAGGTTATTACTTCTTGC